TCGGCCATATTTACGTGCTGTCGCCGAGGATGCCTTGTTCTTCGGCTATTTCGCCCTTTTTAAAGCTCCTTTGATGCCTGGAGACGAAGCCCTGACGCCGAGCAGTGGATGATGTGACAGGAAACGCGGCAAGTGAGTGATAACAAGGAGAGAGAAGAGGGAGGAGGAGAGGAGAGAGGGAGGAGGACGAGGGTCGCCCTCGAACGCAAACCTCTTCGAAAAAGGGGAGAGATTTTGGTTTTATTTTTTTTGTTTCTTTACGTGCCGAGGGGCAGGTCTCGATCTCCTTCGTGCCAGGGGATGCCACGGTGGGCCTAGATGCCCTCCCTGAGAACCCTGGGGGCGATTCAGGGCGAGACTAAGGCGGAGAACAGGTGTTTATATCCCTTTGACAGGTGTTCCTGTTGAATATCTATGACTAATCGCTGTCCCTTGAGATCCTGCAGAAGCTCCTTATTAAGGGATTTCTGGAGGATTTCAGGAATTCCCGAGACGTCAGGGAATGAGAGGAGGAGGCGAGGAAGGGATTTCAGGAGGAGGAAAATTAGGAACGAGAAGGAATCCCAGGTAGAAGAGGAGGCTGAGGTCCTGCCCTTAAGTGCCCGGTAGGGTATGTGAGGGAGGAGCCCAGGCTGCCCTCCTTGCCCTGGCTCTCTTGCCCGGATTTTTACCCCTGTTTCCTTGTTGCCTCTGCCTCAAGGGGAGGACTCACTCTTGGGAAACAGTTCAGGGTATTTACAAGGGGAGTTTGTCCTGCCCTTCAGTACCCGGCAGCGCTTGCGGGTGGAGTATCCGTCTGTTGCTTGCCCCTGATTCTCGTCATTATTCGCTCCTGTCCTGATGTGTTTTCTCATATTTGGTCAGGGTCGCAGTATCTTGAAGGGGGGGGGAGAGCAACAGCGTTTTGTGTCCCAGCCTTTGAATGTGCGTCAATGGGGGGGGCGAGTGCAGATCACGCTTTCAGTTTATCAGTGATTAAGAATTCCTTTTTCATTCTGTTCTTGGCAAGCTGGTGTGCGCGGGGGAAATTTAAGCTTCGTAGTGAGGGGATTGAGAAGCGAAATAGAAAGTCATCTTGGAAAGGGCACGTCTTGTGAATATTCGAGGTAGCTATCCAGAATAGGACTATGCAGAGACCAGGGAAGATCCATATAAATGTCATAAAGAATACATATGACATTATTATTAGTTATTGAAGATAACCTTCACAGAGCAAAGGTAAGTCCACTATCACTAATCCAAGTTTGTATATCAAGGGAATCCATAGCCTCTGTGGTTTGGGCCTTAGCAATGGTCAGTAGATATCTACCACATATTCAAACAAGATAAAGAGTGTAAAGGAACTATTGTAAACATTGTCTTGTTGGAAGATGTGTTGGAGGTTGTTGGCCTTTGCCAGAGTGCAAAGAATGGAGGTCATGGCATCACTTGATGAGGTCATAGTCTGGATAATAATTAGTGCTATATATTGTGCTAAATTACTTTTAACCAAAGAATTTATAGTTAATTAGCAATAGTTCTATAAAACCAAGTTTGTAAATGGACTATTATAGCTAGTACTATATATGTTTACAGTAAGGTCCAGGGAAGGATAGGCTAGGCCCACGTTATAAACTTTGTACTACACAACATAATTATTCTGTGAAAACTAAAAAGGTGGGCACACAAATGCTAGAAGTATGGTACAGCATATGCTGAAGTTTATTAAATATCAAGGGCACATAATTTTAATCGGGACTAAGACCTGTCTGCTATTAACAGTTCATGACTCTTACCAAAACATAAAACAAACAACTCTTCCCTTGCATTTCATTTGGATGCATAATTTTGAGTCAATTTGGATGATGAAATACAGTTAACTGTGTATTTTCATAGGTTTCCGCTCATGGTGAAACAACATTTCTAGTTTTATAATTTGGAGGTGCACATGCTTTTTCTTTTCAACTTTTGGTAATTCTATACAATACTTAGGCACTTGCCAGAGTCTCAGTCCCCAAATCCATCTCAAAATTTATTTAATAATGTAGGTTGAGGGACCTCTGCCCCTCAACAAAGATAGTCTGAATCTCAGGAGCACCGAGTGGCACTGTCTGCGTTTTTTCATTTGTGGTATTACTGTTCATGTCTGCAGATATTTCTTGTACCAATGACTGCAACTTTTAGTCGTATATTAGATTATGAGCTTCAACTTCTTTTGATAAGTGTGTCATACCATAAAAATTAAATGAACATTTTTATTGTTCACTGCAAAAGGAAAAGTATGGAACCTGTAGCTAAAGTGTGTTCAGTCTAGATATATAAGAGACCCAGCTCTTTTCTGCAGTGCAATAAGTAGCAGGTAGAGCTGCAGTGCAATCAATAGTTGATTATGGTATTTGAGTGTGAGTAATGATATTGTCTCTCAGGTTTACAGTTTCATAAATTCATAATTATGTTTATCAAATACCATTGACACCTTAAACCTGGATGATGTGGCCATCACGTCATGAAAAAATTTGGC